CAGCCGCAGCCGGGCCTGTATGAATCCTAACATTCTTTTTTTTTTTTTTTTTTTTTTTTTTTTTGAGACAGGGCTTCTCTGTGTAGCCGTGGCTATCCTGGGTTCCCTCTGTAGACCAGGCTGGGCTCAAACTCAGAGACCCACTTGCCTCTGCCTCCCGAGCGAGCGGTGGGACTAAAGGCGTGTGCCACCACCGCCTGGCTGGTTTCTTGTTGATGTGTCAATTGCTGTTTGCTGTCCTTGCAGCTGAGGTGGCAGGAGGGTCCTTCTGAGGTGGAGCTCTTTTTGAATAGTCCTTAGGACAAGGAAAACCTTCTTGGTGGCAGAGGGATTAATTGTTTTTTATCCCAGACTGGCACTCTTTGGGAAGAGTAGAAGAGAAGAAAGATTGGAACCATGCTTCTTTGTGTTGGGGTCAGGCTGTTGACCCCAGTGTCCCTCCTCAGGGGAAGTGACCCAACTCCTGTAGAAGATGCCATTACTAGGAAGGTAGATGAGCAAGCTAAAGGAAGCAAGCCAGTAAGCAGCGTTCCCCATGGCTTCTGTTCAGTTCCTGCCTCCAGATTTCTCCTCCTGCTTTGTTAATCTGGTCAAGGCAGCTCCTGCTGCCCCAGACACTGTATCCATTTTCAGCAGAAAGCAAGAGGGATGGGGGCAGTGTTGACACTTTCTCTGTATCAGGGAAATGACAGCCCTCTTTCTGGTCTACTTCTCAGACTTCCCTTTGGTCTCACAGCCCTTCTAGCTCAAGGTAAACTGGGAAAGCAAGTGTTAACCTCCTGTCCTGTAGGGTGGCAGGCAGCAAAGAAGAATGGACAGTCCCTGCCTTGTGGTGTCATGTGACAATTTCCCCTGGAAGAAAACAGCACTGGCAACTGCTGGTTGGGATGAGGCCAGGCAATTTTAGACAGGAAAGCCTGTGAGAGGACTTCTGGAGACCCCAGGAAACAGGGAGATTATCTTGGGGGTTCATCTGGGGCCTGGGAACTGCTGCTAAAAAGCCACTGGACGGATGGTCATTGGCTATGGCATGGAAGGGCTGAGGTGACAGCAGGGAGGCAGGGAGCTGTTGGGTTAGCGAACACTGCCAGCCACTCGCTGCTCTGTTGGTGGTGGTGGTGTGGATCTTAGAGTTCACTCCTGTACCCACATGGCTGGCTCTGAATAACCTCTTAGTTCAGGAGTGCAGCGCAGAATGGGGTCAGGTGGCTGGACATGGAACTCCCTCCTGCTGCAAGAGCGGGGCCCTGGGTGTTCCACCCATGCTGTTGGAGGTCATCCGAGTGCTGGGCAAAGTGCGTTTGTCTCGGGGCGGCGTGACAAGCTCTTGAATATGGGAGCTCCGTTGTCCGCTGGCAGTTATACTTGGAGCATTTGGACTTTGCTCTGTCTGTTAGCTCTCCTCATCACCGTGATACAACACCTGGTAGAAACAATGTAAGGGAGACCCTGTGGGAGAAGAGGTGTGAGGGCGAGAGCCTTTGTCCATGGCGGTGGGAACTTGTGTCAATCAAGGCTTGCTCACATCCTGGTGATCAGGAAGCAGAGAGCCGAGGTGGGAGGCAGAAAGTTACCAGCTTCAAGGTCCACCCACAGTGATTTGCCTCTGTCAGCAAGACTATGGTCACAAAAGTCTCACCTCCCCAGGCGGTGCCACTACCTGGGTTCCAAATGTGGGGACCCTTTTACCTCCAAACTACAACAGTGAGCCCTTCTTGCCTCCTCTTCATCCCTTCCATATTGCCCAGGATTGAGGAAGTGGAGGAGTGGAGAGGTTAGCTAGCACCCTACATTGTGCAGACACCTCGCTCTCCTTTCCCATCAGGTCACCTCCTTAAGTTTGGAGGCGCACAGTAGGCTCTTTACTCTCCTTTCCCGTCAAGTCATCTCCTTAACTTCGAAGGCACACAATAGGCTCCTCATTTTCTTTCCCCATCAACTCATCTACGTGACTTTGGGGTACACAGAAGACCCCGTCATCCTTTTTCCGAGCCCTGGGCTAAGAAAAGGCAAGTGGCACACAGTTGGCTGCACAGGAGGTGTGGGTAGCTGAGGTTGTAACTGTCTGTGTTGATGGTGGAGCTGTGGTCTGTTGAAGAGTTCTGTGGTTTTTCTGCTGGTCTCGCAGTGTGAGATTTGTCTGGGCCTTCCCAGTAGCTGGGTGCTTCTAATTAATTGCAGATGATGTGTGAATCTGTTTGGAAGTTGCCAGTATATCTGATACCACAGCCTGAGGGTGGGTAGAAGCTGTGCAGCTTGGCATTCTAATTATTCACAACTATTTCACATGCAATTAGTCTTCCCTGCCATGGGTCAACTCCACTATTCCCCCATGCATGAAGCTCATCACAACAGATGCTGGCATTGCAGCCCTGGGCCATGTCAGACTGGTAGCTGTGATCAAGCCAGGGCCATGTGTTTTCCGGTCATACTGGGCCAGTTGTCCATTTGAAGATTGGAGCAGATGGAGGGGATCCTGGAACACCATATCTGCAGGTTCACCTGCAACTCACGGGGACTCATTGCATTTCAGAGCTGGGAGGCTGCCTGGTGGGTCAGTTGATCCAACTTGCTCACTTATGGATTGAGCATCTGAGACCCACGTGGGTGCAAAAAACCCAAAGCAGATTGCATTTAGCATCTGCTTCCCCAGTCCCCATCTGCCACTTGTTGCGGCACCAAGCAGATGCAAGGTCACTCTTCTCACCCTCTGTTTCTCCTTCCTTACAGACCACATTGCCAGCTCAGTGTGACTTCTGAGTTGTGGGGTATGAGGTGTGACTTGTTTGGTTGCAAGTGACAAACTAACCTAAGTAAAGTAAGAGAGCATTATTGCTCTCCTGACCCCAACACTTGGAGGACATTTACATTAGGCTCCCGGACCTTTGGGTTTGATGGTCTCTCAGTCTTCCTCCTAAGGCTCTGCTAAGTGGAAGAGTAGAGCTAGGCAAAACATGTCTATGACCGGTGACCAAGGCGGTTCCACCTCACACCTGAAGCTTGAGAATGTTGATTCCAGCAGAACCACTAGAGAGCCTGGCCACTTCCTTGAAATGCAAATGTGGTATTGGGCACACACATGCACACACACATGCGCTCACATGCACACACGCACACACACACCAACCACATCTGGGGCCTTGGGTCTGTCTGTCAGATGGCCTGTGTTCCAATCCTAGACCCATGTCACAATTCCTTCGTGACCTTGGGCAAGTCACTTCTTGCCTCCCAGCTTTCTTACCTGCAGAGTGAGCTGATCACTTGCTGTGGGAGGAGATTTGGAGGATTTCATGAGGTAATTGGCATTCAGTGTCACCCAGTGCTTGGCACATGACACACACTCTGCAGGAAGTTATTAATAAAGGAACTTCTCATGTGTTTTTCCATCTGTAGAAGGGACACCACCACCATCAGGTAGTAAGGAATTTGCTGGTGTTTCAGCTTGGCTGACCCAGCCCTCTCCTTCAAGGTTAGCTTGGTGTGGAATTGTCATGTGCAAAGGCTTCCTCACTCCATATCCTCACCCTCTTCCATTCTCAGCACTCACATTGTGCTCTCCTGCTTCTGCTGGGTGCTCCATGTCTCTTTAATACTGTAGCTCAGATGTCGATGCTGCATTCCCAGTGAGCATATCTGAGTAGACTGGGAGGGCTCAGGAAGCTTGCCTGTGTGTCACTGGACTATCTTAGGCAGCTTTTCTTCAGGTCCCCTGTGTGTCACTGGACTATCTTAGGCAGCTTTTCTTCAGGTCCCATGAGACAGCACCTGGGACAACTTCTTAAGAGGAAGGAGTGGGTTAGGGAGATGGTTCAGCCAGGAAAGTGCTTCCTGTACACTCATAGAACCTGAATCCAGATCCCAGAACCCACAGAAGGGTGGCACACATCTGTAACTCCTGTGATTGTGCGGCAGAGGTAGGCAGATCCCTGAAGCTCACTGACTAGCCCGCCTAGCTGAATCAGCAATCCAGGTTCAGTGAGAGATCTTGTCTCAAGAAATACAGTGGAATACAATTGAGGAACACTCCTGATGTCAACTTCTGGTCTCTTTGTGCATACTCACACACTTACTCATACACACTTGCATGCACACGCGCGCGCGCGCGCGCACACACACACACATGCACACACAAGTACATGCATATGCACATACTCAAATACACATATACAGGCATACCACAAAATATGTTAGGGTCATTGTTTCAAAGGTTTCGGTTCATGGTTGCTTGACTGTTACCTTTGGAGCTGTGGATAGGCACAGTGTTGCAGTAGGAGCTTGAAACACAGGAAACTGCTCACCTCCTGGTGAGCATCTGGGGAACAAGGAGAGAGGAAGGAAGGCATTAGGGTTCCAGTAT